AAAAGGCTGCGAGTGCATTCTCGGCGACTAACAGCAGGATACTCATGGTAGAAGAAGCCCTAGCTGGAGATCGAATGAGCATCAGGATACAGGTTATCGGGTGCATTCCGCAACCTCTTTCACTCTCCGCAAATTACCTTCCATTTCTACAGATAAAGAACTTCTCGCCAACATTCCCTGCGTGTTATCTGTGAAAACGACGAGTGAGGTGATGCTGTATCAAGCATTCGTATGTGATTGTCTAAATATACTAATAAGGATATCCATTACCCACTTCCTAACACTTAAAAGCATAGCTACGCATGAAATTTACTTGGTATAACATAACAGCAATTACTTGTTATAGGCAGATGTTCCAGATTCTCCACTTTCCAAAGGTTCTTCGAAAGTCAAGCGATTCTCCTCTCCGGCAAGTCCAAGTAACCAAGACTGCAGGTTAAAATAGACTTCTTCAAAACTTAGCAAAGTTGCCAACAACCCCTACTTCCGACAGAGGCAAGTCAAAAGCAATTAGTGCAGAGACATGGCAACTGATCACATTCGGTTATTCCCGACGTTCAACACAGACACATTCGTCAAGTGAAGAAAACGACATTCAACCCGTGGAGCCACTATATTCCTTATATGCAGAATGCCAAGGTGAAAAAAATAGCAAATATGACAATTGATTCCTCTTAGTCGCCTGCATCCTTTACATAACGAGTTTGATAAAAAGAACTTTGCTGCACACCAAAGTTCAAAAAATACCCATGAGCATCCAGATGTGATTCAATTATGTAGTCAAAAAAAACGCGAATGTGTTTAAAAAAAATTGTAAGGCAGTTTTAAAAAAATTAAAGAAAACGTTTAAAGCGCATATACGTAATTGTATTCAAAATATTTTCAAGTGCGTAAACATTGATCTAATAAAATTGCATTGTTATAATTAAATATTTGTGTATTTTTGATGTATTGCCAAATCCACACAAATTATTTTTTTTCTTTTTTTTGAATTTTCCGCATTTTGCTAAGTTAAACTCATTATTCACACATACGTGGTCCAAATCTACTTGTGATGAAAACACTGGATACCTACCTCCCCATTTTTCTACTCTTTTATTAACGTATGTGTTTGCATATTTTTTTTATCTGTTTGCCAATTTTTGTGTGACAACATTTTTCTTAAAGAGATACATATTTTGAGTAGCGCTACCACAGTGGAGACAGACTCGCCTCCGAACAAAATTGGTCAAAATTTGTACAATGCACCTGTGGATCAGTGGATCTGGCAGAACTAGCATAATGGACTCATTTTCCTGCAACTTGTATGTGCCTAGGCTTGCCTATCTATCTTTACATGTTTAAGTCTCCATCTATCCAAATTGGCTATATGTTGCTGTCGAATGAGAAAATGTGATGAAGTTTTCACTGATCATGCTCTTGATAAGACCACGTTCGATTAATGATGAGTGGTTGAAGCCGTGGTCAAAAATCTTAACATTTTTTTGCAATACATGTACGAATTAATAGCTTTTTGGGAGGAAAAATTGC